AAGTACATCAGAAGCAGGAGGCCTGCTAAACAACCAGTGGGGACACTGGACAATCGAGATGCTAAAGGAGCACTCAAGGAAGATAAGGCCATTGTGGAGAAATTAAATTAATTCTTTGCATCGGTCTTCATGCTGAGGATGTTGTAGGACTGATGAATGAAATTGTTTTTAATTGTTCACTTTATTAATGTAACTTCATAAGTAAAGTTTTATGAATGAAACAATATTCATTCATAAAACCGGTTACCCCAATAACTGGCTAATTAACAGCTAAGATGCTTGTTAAGAGCCATAGCTGTTCAGTCAGCTGCCTTTGTAAGTTTCACTATCAATCTAATTCCTGCTTAAATCACTGAGACTTGCACTGTTTCAGTATTGTAATTTCTGTTCACCATTTATTACACTTGCCTACCGTGTAACTTATGTTCACTGTTTGCCATCCATTATACTTGTCTATATTGTAACTTCTGTTCACTGTTTGCCATATTGTAATTCAAACCCCATTTTGAAACGCTTACTCCATTTTGTAAGGGCTTGCTGCAACCTTCATTTTTGCAAACCCTGCTGTAACCTTATTAGTTTAATTTAGATGTGTGAATGAGGTATGTATGGATGATGGAATCAACCTCCACCCCCAGCCTGTGCTGATTAAATAGAGTTCAAACACCAACGGCTGAAGATGCAGACAAGAGCCCTAACAAAGTAAGAAGAATCCACCCTAAAAAGAAAAGAGAAGGAAGATCAAAGCCAGGTCCGAGGCTGAAAGTCATATCTGCAATTAACAGGTGATCAATCACCAAACCCAAAGGCAGCGTGACACAGCAAAACCTATAAACTCTGGATTCAAACGAAAGCCTACAAAAAGGATGGGTGAAATGGAAAACTTTGGAAAAGGGTAACATTCTGCTGCCAACATGGAAGGGTATCGGTGCATGCCCAACAGAGACCCAGCTCGTCCTTGTGCCCGGCTTTCCTGGCCAGTTAGCCGCCACAAGCTACGAACCCAAGCTGCAAACTCAAGCCACAGACTCAAGCAGAACTGGTAACTATGCAGCAGCTGCAGAACATCTAATGGATGTGTGTGTGTGTGTGTGTATAGGTATTAGGTATAATGTGTGTATATAAGAATTAAAATATTAGTTATTGGTCATAAATCAAATTGTTATCATAATAAATGTGGCATCTTTATCTTGTCCCCTTTAATAAGATCCTGCTAGTTTTCATTGGTATAACATTTTGGTGGAGAATTGCGAAAGGGGGAATATTGGTAAAATGCCTCAGTTATTGTAAACATTGGTGTGCACACCACCAAGTAAACTTAGCATAATACAATCTGGTTAACCAAACCTGCTGGCCTCCGAATAGGTAGCAAAAAAAATAACAAATATAAGCTACAATTTCAGAATCTAGGCTGTGTCACTCGCTAAACGATATCAGGAGCGACAAAAAAGTTTAAATAAGCTGGTGCATACACCCTCAGTCGGAGCATGCCTGAGCATAAGAGGAGAACTTAGGGTTTCTCACTTTGCCCCTAAAAAGGGTTTTTATATTTGGTGTATGAACCCTCGGTGGTAGATGCCCAAGCAATACAGAGGGAAGCTTAGCGTCTCTCCCTCTGGCCCAGAGTGGGTTAAAAACATAAGATACAAATCTTGTTCTGTTAAACCAAACTCTGAAGGATATAGGAGTTTGGGCAGTGTAGTGTGGTTTATGTTTGTTTGTTTTGTTTTTTTGTAAGTAATATTGTGGTAATTTCACAATTTTAAAGAAAATGTTTAAGAAACGGAACCAGGAAGGGTGGGGGCTAGTTGGAAAGCCCACCCTCCTTGCTAAATTGGTAGTGAAACAAGGCTTGTGCCTATGGAAAGGAACTGTTTATTGGAAAAAGCAGGATCGGGCCCAGGCAAGCAACAGATAAAGAAACTGGAAAACAGGTTGGGTACAAAGAGTTAAAACAGCACTCTCAAATCTTACAGCAGCAGTAACATCAGGAAAAAAAAACATTTGAGACCCCAGAAGGGGGCAGAGCTTTGGGACCCCTCTGGAAATTGGGAAGGGGGATATTTGGGTAAATTCCTCCTCGCAGGGCCAAAATGCCATTGAAACAGTTAACAACAGTGCCTGCTTCTGCCTCAGATCTCCAGGCCATGGCAAAATGGCTGGAGATTTTAAAACAATTTTTTTTTTCTAAATGAAGTGTTAATGCCCTTTTACTGAGAGAAAGGGAGGATTTACACTCACAAAAAATGCACCACTTAATTAGCATTTGTGCAGCCCCAAGTACCAAACACACTGTGGCAGAGACTAAGCAGGTTCTGCCATGGTGAAAGCACTGTGCTAATTTGTTTCCAAGCTTCTATCTTTCAGGCTCTAAACCAGAACATCAGGAGAGCTGGTACCAGCTGAAAAGTTATGAAATACCATGGTTATAGTGTTATAACAAAGTCTGTGTTCAGTGTTCTGTGTTGCATGTTCTGTGTCTGTCTCTAGTGGTGTCCTGGGCTAGCATTGGGTCCAGAAAAAGAGGGGATACTACACTAGACAGGGCAAATGTCTTTTCCTCTCTCTACTTCCCCCATGTCCATCCAATTTATCAATCACCACTTGCGCCCAAAGGACTTTGGTCCCCAATGCATCAGGTTTATTTTTTGTTAGGTTCTCTAATAGTCATTTTGTTGTTAATTTTTGTTATTAATACATTTGTATTGTTAGTTACATTTGCTTGTATTGTTAATTCCACACTTCCCTCTATGCACTCTGGTTCTATTTCCCCAAGCCCTAAAGGGTAGTTCTTGGGCCCCCATAACCTGTAAAACCTTGGCCCATAATTGTAGGGCCCCATCTTTCAGGCCCCCCAAAACCTCTTAAAAACAACTGTTAAAAATAGAAAATTCTGCAACATTTTAGCAACTAAATGTTAGTTTAAGTCCAAATCAGCTTAACCTTGCATAACAACTTTGGTACTCCTACAAAATCTTATTTGTTGTGTGTGCTTAAAAAGGTCCTGACCTCAGTGACTTTTATTGTTTGATGGCTATTGCAACATCAAACTTGGGCCTCATCTTGTTTGTCAATGTACCCAATTATTGTAATTGTAATGGTTTTATAATTGTTTGGTTTGTTTGCAACAAATCACCTGTGCCCTACAATAACAACAACTGCTGTAATAATCATAAATAAAGGGGCAGAGTGTTGTAGGAGCAGCCCACCTGGTCAGCATATAACCAGCAACCACCTGGTCTAAATATAATTTTTCATCCCATCATTGTCCTGTTAGTAATCCTAACTGTTATGTTGGTTCTGCCTTAAAACAATTACATAAAGTGTGACCCATTCAATACCCCTGGATTGAAGGGTCAAATGAGGGACAATGTAGGACTGATGAATGAAATTGTTTTTAATTGTTCACTTTATTAATGTAACTTCATAAGTAAAGTTTTATGAATGAAACAATATTCATTCATAAAACCGGTTACCCCAATAACCTAATTAACAGTTAAGATGCTTGTTAAGAGCCATAGCTGTTCAGTCAGCTGCCTTTGTAAGTTTCACTATCAATCCAATTCCTGCTTAAATCACTGAGACTTGCACTGTTTCAGTATTGTAATTTCTGTTCACCATTTATTACACTTGTCTATATTGTAACTTCTGTTCACTGTTTGCCATATTGTAATTCAAACCCTATTTTAAAACGCTTACTCCATTTTGTAAGGGCTTGCTGCAGGGCCGGCTTTAGAAAGAGC